CTCCTCCCTTGTCACCTCGTCCTCGCCTCCTTTCTCGACCCTCCCTTGTTGTCGTCAACCAAAGCCTGCCACCGTGTTGACGCCAACCCGACTATCGATGACATCCCGGCTCCAAACGTTTGGCCCGACAGCCTTCGATCGTCGAGAAGCAAAAGCACTCGGTTATCGGCCTCCTCGGCTTTATCCCTTTCGCCCTCACGCAGAGACCGCGTAGACCCCCGCCACACCACTCCGACGACTACCGAACATCTTGAGGGACTTCGGCCTCTCGGGCTCCAGGCGACTCCTGGTGCTATCCCGCCTGGGAAACGCCGCACACGAATCTGGCCTTCCTTCGGCGCCGGATTCGGGTAAGTGCGTTCCCCCCCCCTCCCCGATTTATGCTTATCAYCCTTGCGCAGGGGCCATGCTGATCTTTTTTGTATCGTTCCAATTTTTACGGATGTCTCGAAGGACCCAGATCGTGGCGCGCCGACCAAAAATAAGAAAGAAAACAGACTTTTACCCCTAACCAGGCCCGCAACATGGTCTGGGCCGGTAGGTTAGACCGGCCACCTACTTCAACCAAAAGAAATCACACTCGCGCCTCAAAATTGCGTGCCCACATACCCCCTACCGGGACAAGGCAACCTTTGCCTCGCGCGCGGACGACTCTCACATTTTCCCCGCACGGGCACTCAAATCCAGGTTAACCGAGTCTTCCTGTCACTTGCAAAAACCAGGGCGGATACCCTTGTAAGGGTATTCGCGCCGACAGCTTACCGGACCATATTAAGCGACGTCCTCGTCGCTCCGCCAGATCAGAAAGCTATAAATTCATCCACACTCCAAATGCTGACGAGGTTAGAGGCAATCCGATTAGCCGACAGACTCAGGGGTGAGGTCTCCATCAAACCGTGCCAACACAACTATATGCTGTCAGGGTTTCAACCTGGGTCTCCATTGCCCTGACACCAGGACGCCGGTGTATTACACGTCAATACTACAACATAAGTTTCAAAGACCCTCAAACCATCATCTCCCCCTTTAGTCCTAGACAACCGTCGGTTTCTCGTTGGGTGTCCCAGTTAGCCTCTTTCTCGTAGACATAGCCATGACTAGGGACGCGGGCTTTGAATGGGACCCGTGAAGGCATTCTTGCCTTCTTTTAGCAATTTTCTCACCATCAAACAAAATACATATATATAGCCTATAACCTCTCTCGGCCTTTTCTGCAGTCTAGTACAGAAGCGTCAGGTCTCCATCTGAGCCCACCATAGCCTGGTCGATCGGGCCAGGTCTACGGCCCACCGCATTGTTACCTTAGCGGCGGTATCCTCCCGTTGGTTAAACAACGATAGGCGTTTCTCCTGATAATCAGTTCATCAGGATTTTCCAACAGACTCGACTCCCATCCCGCAAAGCAATTTCTCTAGGGCGGGCAACTCCCCTTAAACTCTTACCGCGAGGGCCCGCAGCCAGGTTGTGTCGACCAGCAGCCATCCACTAGGGGTTGCACCCAAGTGGCACTAAGCTTTACCGTTAGCTTGGTATTCCTTTAAGTATACCTCAGAATTAGCACAGGTGGTCGGGCGGGGCCTCACAAACAATTCACAGGCCACTGCGGGACTACGCAGGGATCTGAAGGCATTTAATTGCCCTCCTATAATAGGCACGGCATCCTTCGCTCAATCACAAACAGTCTCCCCGCCGGATCCAGAAGGCCGCGGCCCCTGAATTGATCAGAGTCAGCAGTCGCCCATCCTGAGGCATCTCTCGCCCTTTTCAAACATCTCAAGCAAACATGGTTCTCCCTCGTCAGACTCTATCAACACAATCAGTGCTTCCTATACCATTCAATTTTTACCCACCCTTACTTAGTAAAGGGTGCCTCTCACAAAAGATTTCACGGCCGTCCTCTTTTTGTATGGGATGACTCTTCACACGGTCCCTTCCAAAACCATAAAGGGGCCTTGGTAACAATGCAATTCCCACCCTTCAGAACCATGAAGGGGGTCTTAATCACCAAACAACTCAACTGAGGGACCATCTTCTGGGTCCTCATACAACTTAGACAACGGTGTTTAGTATGACCGAGCATGCAAGTTTCTGAATCCATCGATCCCGTAGGATTCTCACGATTTTTCACAAACAGGCTGCACTCCCCCCCTCTGCCCTCTCGTCCGCTTGCAAGCAGACTGCACGAGTATACTGGAGGGTAGACAACTTTACAGTTTACACAATCATGCCCATGAGATGTACCATGTACACCTCTCACACAAACCCAATCATACATCAGGATAAAACCACATATGTGAGAGTGATAGTGGTCGCCACAAGACAAGTCCCATAGAATCTCTACTCATAATACACTCAGGGAGTAGAATGCCTCCCTCAAGATTCAAATACAAACACTCGACTCAAACTCTGTCCATCTGAGCATGGATCCCGACCCCACTGTACACTCGCGGAACACGCTCGGGGACACAACATCTATAAAAAATCTAAAGGGTGCCTAACCCTCTATCTCACCCAACTAGGGAAAACTCATACCCAAGTTTCTCTCAAACTCAAGTGGTCTCCGCACTGCGAAATCAAAAGTGGACTGAATAGCCCGATGTGTCCTACGACCGACCCTCATGCCCTAAGCCGTAGCCTATGAAAGAAAAACTCGAGGAGACTTCAATCAATGATATGTGTACAAGCAGGCAGGGACTCATCCTACCACCTCTAAAGCATGCACACATCTAGGGCCCCCTCAGCCAACTAGTCATATGTACACCTCCAACCCGCCCTCCTGTGTGCCAATCACACTGTCCCTACTGACACATAGACAGACCAGGCCCTACTTACACAACTCCTCCTGGTTCTGCCTATACAACTGAGCCCTGCCCCATCTGGAGCTCGCTCTACTATCCTGCCCTGCCTGTCATAGAACTTGCCGTTGAACTCCGCAACTCGCCCCTCGGCCTTATCATCGAGGAGTTCTGGGCAGTCCACGACTCTATGCCCTTCCTCCTTGCACCAAAAATAGGAGGTATCGTGCCACCTGGCAGTCTTCTTCTTTCTCCCCTGCGAACTCGATGCCGAAGGCGTCCCCGTGGTCTCAGTAGTCACCTCATGGCACGAGGACGATCCCATATGGCCCTGAGGTCCGGACTCCATAGCCTCAGCACCCTCACCCCCTCGTGCGGCTGTGCTCACTGGCCTACAGTCTGGCATATCCAACTCTCGGGGGCCCTCCTCATGAGGTTCCTCTGTCACCACCACCATCTCATCCCCACATGCTCCTGACGGTTGAGAGCCCGCCATGGCGGTGGGCTCACTCATGACCTCCTGGCTCCTGTTGCTGTTGCCGCCCCGGGTCATGTCCTCCTGAGTCCGTCTCCATGGCCCAGGAGCCCAGCTCCGCCCTTAACTCTCCCAGCCTCGGGGCATGCTCTGGAGCATCGAGTCTCTGAAGCTCCTCCTGAGGCGTGCCTTTCGCCATGGCTGCCGCCAGCTCATGCAAACGTGAACCTCTCCTCTCCGTGGACATAGCCATAAATGACTCTTGCGCACCACCCTCCTCCTCAACTGCGTCCAAGGGCACCTCCTCCATTGGCTCGGCCTGTCGAGAGACCTCCACTGCTACTCCCTGGCTCGTCGACGCCTGCATCCCTCGGCCCTGGCCATCGGCACCGGCTCGCTCCGCCTGGCTAGCCTCCCAGGCTGCCGAGAGCTTGTCCACGGCGGCCGTCATCTCCCCAAATCTCCTCTCCCACTCAACCTCTCTGGCCTGGCCCCTCGCCCTCTCCTCGGCAAGCTGAGTAGTCAGGTGCTCCACCTCCAACTCTCTGACCCTGAGCTCATTGCTGAGTAGATTATACCACTGGAAGGACGTAACTGCCGTCTCGCATATCCTCCGATCCATGCGCTCAATCGCCTGCCGGGTCGCGGAGAACCTCTAGTCCCCCATCTCTCTAAGCTCACCCACCCCCTCGTCTGCCTGTCCCGTCTCTCGTGACCTTTGGCGGGCTGCCTCCCTCTGGCTTTCATACCTAGCCCACAACTCGTCGATCCTCTGCTCGCTCGTCTTGGGCTCGATCGGCAGTGTCGGCTCTATTCTTGCTGCCTCCATCTCAGCCTGCCTCGTATGTATTTCATCCAGACGGACCCGCACTCGGGCGGACTTCTCTTCGCCGGTCTCTCTTGAGGTTCTTCTCACTCGCGGCCCCTGGCCCTCTGGAGTTGACGCCTCCGCCCCCATCCCCTCGCTCGCGTATGGCACTACTGGCGGTAACTCCGCTGGAACGGGCTCCTCGATAACTGGGCTCTTGGTCACGTGCGTGGCTGATGGTAAGTCAAGGGGCGCCTCCATCCTCACTCTCTCACACACTCCCTGACCCTCCGCCTCTGCCTCCTGCTCAGGCATAGTGGTGGCCTCAGGGGGAGACTCCGGAATCTCGTCGCTGCCCGGATCAGGAATCCCCTCTAGCCATGAATGTTGTGCTGGCCCCAGAAATGGGGAGCATGTAGGGGTATCGTCTCCGACCATGATCACCTCCCCGCCCTGAGGCCGTACCGGATCCGGCTGCTCAGCCGCCATCTCAGGATCTAGCGGCTCCTCTCGGTCTCGCATGTCCGTCCCCGTCTCGGGGTCCAAAGGCTCCTCCAACGGCACATAGCACGTCGACTCAACTGAGCCCTCTCCCAATCGTGAGGCCTCCCATCGAGATGCATCAAGATGAGTCGCTAAGCTTCGGAATGACGTCTCTCTTGGTATATCTAGTTCCTGCGCTGATGGTAACGGTGAGGAAGGTCTCAGCTCCTCGCTCGTAATCCGCCGAAACTCAACCGCCCGGAGGCCACAAGCAAGGAACGACTCCTCTGCCAATGCGGGCCCTGCGGGCTCATTCCCCCGCTGTGCTGGGGCTCTCCTCCTCTCTCTGGCCAGCCCCATCTCTCTCGGTGCCGGATCCCTTGGCCTCTTGCTTCGCCGTCGCCTCTCAACCCAGGGCTCGTGCCTCTCGTGTTGTGGTAATCCGAACGCCTTCCTGAGCTGAGCCTGGCAGTCCTCCCAACCTCGAACCCTCTCCCGAATTTGTTTGGCCACCGGCCTCTCTGCCCCCCTTGTCCAGATAAGTAGGGCATGCACCCACTCCTCCCGCGCAATCCCCTTACTCAACATGTAGTGCTCATATGCAGGAATAAATTCCTCCGCGTTCCCCTCCTCCAATCGAATGGGCATGCCATCGTGCCCTCTAGGGGAAGCTCTCAACCTCTGCATCCCGGCCTCCACATCCGGCCAAGTCAGGGCCTCCTCACATATCTGAGCGACAGGCTCCTCAAACCGCCCTATACCCCTTAAGTGGTGGATCCTCTCCGCCACTGACCACCCTCTCTGTGTTGCATGATCCCGATATACGTCCAGGAAAAACTCTATGTTATCATTGTCGAACTCAGGCGTAGGCTCCCTCCTCGGTGGCTCGTGCCGCTCGCCTCTCCCCACTGCTCCCTGGACCCCTTGCCGTGGCCGTGCGTCCCTCCCGCCCCTCTGCATGACTGCCTTCGAAAAGTCAGACCTGCACACCAGGCGAGAGACAGCAACAGGCACACAGCAGGGTCAGCAACTAAGCCCATTGGCTTGGGGAAATCTCACATACATCCCACACTTATCCACCCAAATCTCTCACCTGTCTAATCACCTGACATGGGTAATACCTAGGCGAGGATCTATTCCTAACGAGATCTCAAGGTGCCTTACCTATTCCCTGGCCACGAACTTCTTCATCCTTGTCCCTGATACCCAGTCCTGCCACCCTGCCCCATCCAACTCTTCAATTTGGTAGGCCCCAAACTCGCCACATCGCACGATCCTATAGGGCCCCAGCCATCGCTTATCTAGCTTCTTGGACCATTGCTTTTCCAGCGAAGAGTCATACAGCAGTACCGCATCCCCAACTTTCAGCGGTTCCTTCCTTATCTGGGCCATCTGGTCCCATCTCATCTTGTCCTCCATACGACTTCTCTCTACCTGACCAGCGGCTTCCCGTAACCTTTCCTCAGCGGCTCCCACCTGCCGCGCTCGTATATCGAGCAACTCTTCAAAGGACAAGTTCACTCTCAGGCCCTGGCGCCTCCACGTCTTCATGAAGCTCTCTATGGGAAAGGTGGCAAGCCTTCCGTACCATAGAGTGGTCGGCATATACTTTGTAGTCCTTTTCATTGTAACATTCTCCACAAAGAATGCTGCTCTCAGGAACTTCGGCCACTGGTTAGGCTTCCCCTCAGTCCATTTGTCCAGGAGATTTGTGATGGTACTATGCCCCCTCTCCACAGGTGCGTTCGCCTGGGGTTGTGCGGCAGTAGTATAGTTCGCTACCACGCCATACCCCACAGGCAAGGTCCGCACCTCGTTACAAGTGAACTCCGACCCCCGGTCCATCACAAATTCTCTGACAAAGGGATAGCGCAGGTAGTACTCTTCGATGCATCTTGCTAAAATTGGGCTAGTTTTTGTATGAATAACCCGATCGTCCACGAACCCGGTAAGGTTGTCCCGTGCATCGAAGATATAATTACTTCCATCTTCTCCGAAAGCCATGAACAACAAGCCTAGGTGTACGACTGCACCCACTTCCCTTTCCAGCCTGGGGTGCAGAGGCTCCCCAGACCTTTGCGCTGACCTCTGTTGGCAAGGTACGCAGGACTGGCAGTACTTGATGACCATAGTCAACATCACGTCCCAATGGTATAACTCACTTATCTTTGCGCACGTGGCACTAACCCCTCTGTGCCCCCCTGCTATACCATCATGTAAGGCTGCTATGACATCAGTCTGCCGGTTCCTCCCACATACAATCCTCTTGGGGTTTCCAACCTGTCATTTTATAAACAGGTGGCCATATCTTACCACATAGAGGTGCCTCATCTTCTGGGCTTTAACACTTGCATCCCTATCCCTTATCTCGCATGACAGAAGTAACCCCAGTTCCCAATAAATCCCGTCATACTCCTCGGCGCGGAAGACCTCTCTGATCTCTCCCTCTTCGAACTCGTCGTCCTGGCTTTCAGAAATAAGAAGTTCGCTATCCTCGGAACCGGTTGAGCTCCTCTGGTGAAAGTTCCCCTGCAGAAACGTATTGGTGAGCAAGTACATCCCTCCCATTAATTGCTCATGCTCCTCTACCTGGGTTGGCTCTTCCTCTATCGTCCTCGCCTCTTCCACCAAGCTATGCGTGCCTGCCAATGCCAACTTCATCATCCAGCCAACATCCCTACTCCCCCACAGATCTTCCTCCTGGAAAGGCTTGAGGACCAGCTCTTCCTTTCGCTCGTACCCCCTTGGTGCTAGCCATATGGGATGCGTTGTCGAGACAAATACCCTGACAAGGGTATTTGCCGGTTTTTTCCAACGTCAGACGCAGTCCGACTTTTTCGTTGAATTGAAAGACTTTATGAGATTGACGACCAGCACTATGACTGAGAGACCTAAACTTTTTTGAACCTGACGTCGTCGACGCAGGACGACATCGACATCCGTGCGGGATAGCGGGAGTCGGCACTGTCGTCCGCGGTTTGCGACAAGGCCGCAGTAGTGTGCGGTCATGGGAAAACTAAGGTTAAAATCAAGGCTACCTATAACAGTCGCGCGATTCAGAGCCCAAGTGGGGTCGCAGCGGTAAGGATGGACCGCGGCGTGAGGGAACAGTTTAGGGTCCACAGGGCTTTTGCGCCAAGGACCGAGGTCGAAGGTGTCGGGGTCGGCTGGGTAGGGCAGCTGTTAAGGCAGTCGGCTGTTGACCCTGCCTGCCAGCCACGACAGTAAGCCGGCTTAGCAGGCGTAGCCTGCTAGGAGCTGGGAAGGGGCCTGCTGGGCATTGGAAGCCCTTCATATACAAGGGCCGCTCCTTTCCTAATGTGAAAAGGAGCTAGCCCAGTAGGTACCATCGCCAGATTATCACCCCGCAGACATGGGGATCGAACATGAGTAACTGCACTACAGGGCTAGCCCTTTTTGGAGCAGCCGCGATGTGACAAAAGGTGCGGTCGATTTTCGGTCGTGCGATTTTCGAGATCGCGCGGCTCATATGACCCCTACACGAGGATGACACACATGAACTATTTTTTTTTACTTTTTGAAAAAAAAAAAAAAAAAAACTTGCCTGTCCCGTATCTGTACGCCTGAGCGCCCAGATACGGGCTTTAGCAAGGACTTCAGGG